TGAAGCAGGAAATTGAGCTCTGAAGTGAGCCGCGTCGAGCCAAGGAACTCCCAGCCCAAAGCAGGAATGTACATGATTCCAGCGAAGGCCAGCAGGGCGTAGGGCAGGAACTTGTGCTCAAACAGCGAAGGCCAAAGGTGAGACTCCACACCGGGTACAGCGTCCCGCAGCTCCGTCCAGCAGTAGCCTCTTGCATAAAGTGCCTGGTCTCTTGTGAAGTTGTGTGGTGTGTAACAGTATATGGACTCCTCTGAGGACGATACACATAGAAAGAATAAGACCAGATATATACTTTAGCATTTAGATGATTTAAGCTTATACATTGAGTGTATTGAGTGTATTATTTTGATAGAAGCTAGCTCCTATTTTCTGAAACTCACTCATAACTCCTATCATCCATGATCTTTTAGATTTTTTTATTCCATTGGCCAGATATGACTAAATGAAAACAGATGAGGTCAGACAAACAGACGTGTAACTATTTCATCAACAGCACTGAGTGTGAAAGAAGGTGCACATACCTGACGTATCTGCTGCAATCTTCCATTGTACTGTAAAACTGCACACACACAACTGCGCTAAACACTGTTGTTTAAGAATGTCAGCAGCTCTCCTTCGTGCAACGGATGTTTGAAACGTTAGATGTCACGTTAGGGCTCACCTTCATTTCACACTGCGTGAGACAACAGTTCAAATGGGGACGTTGTGTTAGATGAAACATATTCACACTCGGATCGAGGAATTGGGAGCACTTTCAAAGTTGTTCTCGATCGGTTCTATCTGGCGCTTATTTTGGTTTAGAACTTCGGTATCTAATAAAAATTGTGGCTTATTGAGAATGTATTACCACCACTTTGCTGTGACGATGCAGTTCAGTCTACTTCATCTTTGAAAGGATTCGCTTGCTATCTAAATAAACTCATCATTTGCACTAAAGACTATTAACATTTATTTTGTGTTTTAAGAATTAAGTGTGTATTCGTTGTATTTCCAGGGCAATATGTGCATTAGTTTGTCAAAGAGGGTAGGATGGTGAGTCATTCAAAATGTGTTTGCCAAAGCCCTAAATATAAAAAAAACAAAAACACATTGGTGGCGAAATACTGAGGAACACCCGCTTTTTTTTAACGCTCAGTGCTGCTCTGCAGAGTGCCTGACTCAGCAGTGAACTAACATCTCCCCCATCGCTGCCAGGCATCTCCTCTCCCCCCTCTTATCTCCGGTCGGGCTGAAGCCTTTCTAGCCCGCTCCAGCTCTCTCTGCCAGCTCTCTGCAAACGCTTCCTTCCATGCCTAATCTGCGATATCCATTTTCTTATCGCTGTCGGTCGCCGACGACGCATAAGCGCTGCACGGCTCCCTCGAAATACACATTTTCTGCCCGGCGCTTTGACAGTTAACCGTGGCAATGAACCCCCCCCCCCTCCTCCTATGGCGGCAGAGGTCTCACCTGCAAAGTTCCTTGTGAAGACCAGGGTGACCAGCAGGATGGGGATGATGACCGTCCCGATGGTGACGACGCGATCGAAGGGCAGCTCCAGTTTGAGCTGCACCATGAGGCCGGCCAGCAACCCGCCCCGCTCATCCTGAGAGGAGCCCGGTAGGATCAGCTCCTTCAGCTTCTCGCCGGCGAGTAGAGCCGTGGCCATGTCTAAGTTCTGATCGAGGATGTTCTGCATCCGGAAACACGGAGGGAGAGTCCTCTGGACTGGAGAGGAGACCAGAAACTCCCCGCTGAAGTTAAACACTCAGCACGGCAGAGTGATGTACTCGCGGAAGACACGCGCGCACGGACAGAACATGCGTGGCCAACGTCAGCCTCGGTCGCCATGCGTGGAGAAGCAGCAGGTCACGTGTACGTCTGCGCGCAGAGCTTTGGGTTTTTAAGGTTACGGTTCCCCGCGACGCCTCTCCCTCGGGTGGACCGCCATCTCTCTCAACGCATCTCGTTGTTTTGCCCCATTGTCTACAGCGCCTGGCCTCGGTCCTTGCTCTCTGTAGGTGTGGGGGGGGGGGGGCAGGTTGAAGGATGGCCGTGAGTTTAGGAGGCGTCCCTGTGACGCCGGCTGAAGAGTCGTCAAACAGGCTGCGGACAGGAGAAGCTCCGGCCAATTGTTTCCTGAAAGAAAGTTAGTGCGGCACAGTGTGTTAATTGCTTCTCGTTTTTAATGAAATCACATTGTTCTTCTTGGAACATAAACTAAATAGGTGACTAGTACAACCGCCCTACAGATGAGCCGTATCGTTAATCGTCTCACAGCATCCTCGGGAAAGCTCCGGGCTCCCGTCCATTGTCCTGTGTAATGCAGTCTTATGGCCAACTAATCCTCCGACTGTGACCAGCGGAGTGTGGCAATGTGGTCACGTCTCAAGAGGGTGTTTGGCTTTGTTCGAGCAAGGGTAATAAAGGTGGAAATGATTTTTTTTTTTAGGAGGGAATTTGCCAAAACAATGGCACACGCTTTGAATGAACACTGACTGTGCAATTCCACAATACATCCCCGGCGCCTCGCCGCACTCCTGGCTGCGCGTTGTCTTTGTGGAACAGCGTGTTCCCGATGGGCTGTCAGGTGAACCCTGAGCAGTAAATTGGCGTCTGCTCATTTGACTTGAAGGTTATACGTTAATGTCCTCCGGGAGGAGCGTGATAACATCAGCCCTTCGTCCTACCAACAACTCTCGCGCCTCTAGCTTTCCTTCTTCCCTTTCCACTTCCTTCATGCCCTCCTCTGAATTTTCCGCTTATGATGCAAAAATACATATGTTGGACAGCCTTGACGGCCAAGCCCTTTAAAGGAGTACAGGAGACTCCGCACGGCGAGGAAGATCACGTGCGAGAGGAGTTCTTAGAAATATCATCAATAATTCTCAAAGGCTGCGTGCACGTGCTGACGAGTCATTGGTGTTATTCGACGTCCCTCATAACAGAGCAAACAGTGCAGATTTATCACCGACTTTCGAGATACGCGTCCTCAAACACTCCAAAAAGTGGAAATAAACTTTGCATTATTTAAATTCAAAGGGGGCAATCACATTGGAGCTGTTTGTTTCGGCGCTGCACTGTTAAAAGCAGACAATGCCCTTCAGCTGGGGCAATGCTTCCAGTGTTAAGAGAGGGATTCCCACATTCCCACAGGCTACACAGCGCTATGACCAGCACAGCCGGACCACAACAGAGAAGTAGAGCTAAAGCCCCCCGGGACAAGAGCTGAAGGAGAACTGTCCCATTCATTCCTTATTTATCAGATGATGGCCGAAGAACTTTGTCAGCACCCGTGGATCCATCACCAGCTCTCAGAAAGAAACTGACAACTATGGCACGGCTACATTTGAGAGGGATGCGGATACGAGACCAGAGCGGAATTCTCGTTTTTTTTTCTTACTTTCGCCTCATCAGTGAGTCCCAATGAGAACACTGCAGGGGACATTTCATCCGAGGACCAGCTCTGTTAGTCCAGAGACATGGCATTGCAGATGAGCAGCTGTTCCAGTACCTGAGCGGCGGACAGCTCCCGAATAGCCAGTGTGCGTGTTTGTGTGCGCGTCAGAAGAGGAGATCCTGCTCTGGCTAACCCTAACCCAATAACAGCATCACCTGTACACACTGGAAAGAAGTAACTTACAGCACCGGGAGGGGGGGGGGCAGGGTAACTAAAAGCCCCCCGACTCACTGCGCGGTGCTATCGACGTCAGCCATGTGCACGCAGCGGGGGGAAATAATCACAAATACGGAAATCCACTCACCGTGTCTCGCTGCATCTCCCGGGGCGGTAAGAGTTAATCTGCAGTGCGGGCGAGAAGCTACAGCATGTATCCGAGCACACCGGTTTGTTCCGCCTTCCCCCCCCCCCCTCACACACACCACCAGGTCCCCTCCCTTCTGCAAACCCGCTCCTCTCTGCCCTCCCCGCCGCGCCTCCTCCTCGGGAATAAGGAATGAGATAACAACACGTTACGGTTCTACGGCTCACAGCGTCATCGCACGTATGTAAACGGGGATGATGCATGAATAAATAAATGCACTACCGGCTAAAGGGTACATCTATTTCATACATGCGTTCATTTTCATATACATTCGCCTATGGACATACAACTAGACCGTTTTTTGAATGATTACCATGACATCAACAGTGATGAAATGCCACAAATGTCTTAGATATTCAACTATTTGAGAGTGCTAATGTATTAAGTAATATTCAGCTATAGTTTAGTTGAATAACTACCGGCTATCATTCTTTACATGCGTTTATGCAGCCTGCCCATCATCTTGTGGGACTGACAAAACCAGAGAGACGATAGTCCTTCAAACGCACTATGCGTGACGAACACCTGGGTGTCCTGGTGCCGTAAAAGGTACAACCTCAAGTTTGAAATAAAGTAGACCCTTCTGCAACCGAGAGTGGAGGGAGCCCTGGTGTGCGTGGTAGCGCAATGCATGAATTTGGCACCACGTCATGCGTAACGGGGACGCTTCTAGCAGGGTACGTTGGCTTGGTGTCTCCGGCAGCATCGTGAGCGCAGCCACAGGTCAGTTCTCCATCTTCCGCCAGCCGGTTTCTGCCGGTTGGGGAAGCCGCACCTCACTACGTCTGCTTTCCAAATATAGACGGTCTCTCTCTCTCTCTCTCGCTCGCTCGCTCCCTCCCTCAAATAATCAGAAATATACTCAGTGCTGTACACAAAAGCGGAACATTTAGGCTTCATTTAGAGCAGTTGGATTGGTGTCATAGGTATCAAAAAGTAGCCACTAAGGAGTCTTTGACATTTTGGCAAATCGAAACTGGCTATAAATTGTGTTCATTCACATTCATGCATGTTTCAGTGTGTTCCTCGATGCGTCACCGTGGCCCTCTGAGGCAAAGCTGAACATATAAAGGTGCAATTAAGCAACATTTAACATCATACACGCTAATACTTAATAATATCACATTTACCTGATCTAATAGGCTGTTGCATGCACACCACTGCGCATAACAACACAAAGAGGATATCACTCACAAGAGAGAGCAAAGATAAGTCAGTATTTGAAAAGGGAATCAGGAAGAAATAAAATCACTGTATCATTTGTGCATTTGTACGTCATCCGATATCACGATGAAATAGCAGCCTTCCATCGATACCAAATAACTGATGTTGAATGTATTTACTGTAAAGAGAGATTCCAGGCATTTTCATACATCACAAAACGATTTGTTAAGGCCAGGGAGTGTCAATGTGAAAACTACAGGAAACGATTCAATGTCCAGGTCACATAATACTCACTACAGTAAGCAGGCAAACATATAAAAAACAAACTATGTCAAAACGTGTAAAATGTTCAAAGCATTACCATTTTAATACAAATAATAATCATCTTAAAAACCGTTCCTTAAATCCTTCTTTCTTTTCTCTTATTTCTCTTTCTAAATCTCCGGACACATTGTTATTGCCTCGAATTTCTTCCACTGTGTTCCATTTGTACTCAAACTTCTCTGTGTACTGTGGCGCTGTTCACTGGGCCATTTGCACCACAACTGCCTTCCAGGCTCGGTCCTTGTCGAAATCCTGCAGCGTCCCGCAGGCTGCTCGCTGCAGAGCGGGGAAGAGAGAGAGAAGAAATTTGAGGTAAATGACGCGTGAAGGATGAGCAGCACAATGTGTTTTATAAATATGCTTCTAGCTCATCTATTTTTATGTGCTCATATTTAAATGTCCTTTACTTGACCTTACAGCTGGTGAAAAAACACCTGCAACATAATGTACAAACATAGACGCCTATTGTTGAAGGTTTGTGTCCACAACCCCTGCTTTACCCGCCGTACCTCGTAGTAATGGGCCGGGCTTTGCATGCGGTCATTGTACTCTGGAGCCCCCATGCGGAGCTGACTCTTGTAGGAGGCACAGTGCACCACAGTGGCTGCAGTGAGTATCGCCTGCAGCAGCAGCAGCACCATCAGAATCAGCAGCAGGATGTCGTAGGATTGCTGTGCCGCACGCAAACACACAGACTTATTAAATCACTCTGAATGAGATTCACCGTATTGACTCGTGAGCTTTATCTTGCAAAAGGAGCTGAAGGCTGGATACTTGGTGCCCACTGCAAACTGGTGATTTGTTTTTACTTCATTAACCTCACCTTGGCCGTGGGCACGTCGTGCAAGAAAATATCAATGAAGTTGATGACACTGGAAGAAAGGAAGCCGGAGGCCGAAAAGAGCAGTGGCGACGTCACACTGCTGATGGCAATCAACACCTCCACCTGAGAGACACGAAGGCGAGAAAGAAAACCTTTGTAGACCCGGAAGAAACAATAAGATAGACTAGAAATGTTGTTAGTGATGATAAACATGCTCCTTCCTCAGAAGACACCCATTCTTATTCAGCTTTCTTTACATATAATCAAGTAGCTTTCTTCATTGCCCACCTTTTGAGAACAGAAAGTCACAAAGTGCTTCAAAAATAAATGAGATAAAAGCAAACAAAACAGAGCATTCTCATCAACATGCATCAAGATATCATTTGAGACTTCCTGAGCTCACTGTGACTGAGCTCAAGGGGATCCACATTTTGCAAACACACACAGCTCCAGAGAGATTCACATCCGTCCATCACAAGAGCAGTTTGGCCTTGTACTCACCAGACATCTGTTGGGGTATTCTGACACAACATGACTCGCAATAGCACTCGGAAAACACTGCAAAGGATTTAGAATGACATACAAAGTCATGTTATAAGGCCACGTATGGATCTCAGTATTAGTTTACATTTTAGTAAAAAAAACTCACAGCAACAAGGATCCAGAAAAATGTGACGGACAAGTAGGGGCCGGGTAGCAAAGCGTCCATGTTGAGAGCAATAATTCCTCCAAATACAGCAGAAATGCCCACGATTACTTCTATTACCTGTAAGACACATTCCCCAGTGATGCTTAAGCATTGGCCACGTGAGAAGCACCATGTGCAACAAAACTGAGGTCTACTCACAGAATAGGCTTTTAGGAGTCGCGTCGGGAACACTGCAGGCGCTACAGCCACCGATCTGTCGTACGTCACCGGCTAGAAGTTGAGCAAAGGTTAAGAGGAGTTCGGGTGCAAGAGTGAAAGACACGGAGAGCAAACGAGGAGACACATCGGATGAGGGCTCAAAAGCAATCAATCAATCACTCACAAACACACACACACACACACACTAATACACACCTTCCTGTGGCAGCAGCAGTCCTCTGCAGAGCGGGCTGACAGGATGACGGTACTGGCCATCAACACCTCCAGCAAAAGCATCAGGATGAGGTTGAAGTTGATCTGCGAACAGACAAAGACACACAAAAACGCTTTACTTTGAAGGATAACTTAGGATTGGTAGTTTATATTGAATCGATTGCATTTACATTGACAGCAGAAGGGTTCACCACCAGTTTACATCCGAACCAAACCAGGCATGTGGTCGTCACTGCAAATGTTGACACATAGACCACCTGGAAATCCGATACCTTGGGAAAGAAAAAAGAAAAAAGAGAGAGAAGACTTGAAGTTCAATTATCAATCCATTAAAACACACAACGGTTGTGTTGCCTTTATTGTTTACTCACTGCAACATGTCTGTTCTTGGCGATGGCAAAACTGACAATCGCAGCAGGGAGACCCTGTGAGGAACAGCTGCAGATGAGCTGCTGAATCTCAAACATCACGGTGAAGCTGAGCGTTCACGTGACGGTGATTGCATTTGCGCGACGGTCACTTACAGAGCCTGCAGCACAGCGTAGGTAGTCCATGGCAACAGGAAACACATTTCCCAGGTACAGAGAGAAACCAGATGTGATGAGCAGACTGCCCTGAGGACACACACACACACACACACACGTGCATGCAAATACAGAAACTCAACAGGTAACACATATGTTGATATTCCCCCTCACACACACACACGCACATACATGCAAATACGGAAACTCAACAGGTAACACAATGTTATGACACAATACACACAATAAACTGCATCACATCCCTCCACATCCACTTTAATCATTTTTTTCCTCAGATCAATGCATTCGATTAGAGCTTTCACATTGCAAGGCGTGACGTTGTATCCGCTCATCTGAATGTGGAGGCACAAAACAAGACGTTTTGTCACCACGCCACTCAAAATTTTCTAGACTGGGACACTGAAAAAAATGACCCCAACCCTTCAAAATTTGCGTGTTATGGACTCAATAGCAACGCCATGTGATGTGCCTCCTTTGCTTCCCTCCCCGGCCGTCTGTCCTCTCACCCCTATGAGGACACTGTAGAGCCAGGCCCTGTAGCTGAAGCAGGGGTGCTTTAGAGGCTCCGGCTGGGCCAGCTGCAGGTCACTGGCCCTCACGTCCACCGTGAAGCTGTCCCGCTCGGGCCTATAGCGCTCCCCCGGCGTTCTCTCCCCTCCCCTGTCTCCCCGTCTCCCCAGCGTCCCGCCGCCCCTCTCCAGAGTGGGCATGTGGCTGTAGGTGAACTCCTCTCTGGCTGAGAGCTCGTCGCACTGCATCACTGACACAGCTGGGGGTGAACTTTGATGGTGGGAATGGGGAAACGCCAGGGAGGAATACGGCCTCTGGGAAAGGAAAATAAATTGTAAAAGCTGCATGAATTAAATTACGTCTTGTGATCTGTATTCAACATGTTTATCGTCAATGCTGTGCTCGTCAAAATGACAGGATGAGTTGATTTTCAGCGCGAAAGTGACAATGCGAGTACTTCAATTTAGGAGACCAGGAAAAAAAAATCAATGCAAAGTGCATCGAGCTAACAGAAAATGGGCCATCAGGCTGTCAAGAATAGCCCCCTCATTTAGTCCGCCTGAGCAAAGAGGACACTTTTTTCCTTCCTCCTATTTTCCCATGACGCTCTCTCAGTACTCACCTGTTGTTGAATCTCTTGTATCGAGTATTGTCCAGCTTGAGGTATCCTTCAACAAACGAGATTACCTCACCAGATAGAGGACAGCTTGTTTTTGTCTGCAGCTCCTTCTTCTGCACCCCATCTCTCCCCCTCTCACCCAAACTCCTCTCTCTCTCTCTCCCTCTCTCTCTCCCTCCGCAGGACGTTTCGCAATTTGGAAAAGTTTTTTTTCTTTCAGCCCTTCAAAGCGTGGAGCTAAAACACATGGCTCTTGTGCTGCCAGCCTACTCTGTGCCAAAGAGAGAGAGAGAGAGCGCCTGTGCATGACAACAAGGGGAGAAAAAAAAGGGGGCTCGCGCTGGGGGCAGAGTTAGTTGGGCAAACTTTGCACTCCCTTTTTCACACACACACACACACACACACACACATGCACATCGACCCACACGTAACTGGCGCACAATAGGCGCACAGAAACGCACGCATGACATCACACAAAGTGAAGCTAAAAAAAAAAAAATGAAGCAGTTTCGGGGAGAAATTCACTTTAATGGTCGTGTGGAGTGTCAATCAAGTGGCTTTTCTGCCTTCATGCCCCTGCTGAGTCCCCCTCACAACTTCCCTTGTTGTTGGTCAGCGCGCTACAGTTGAAGTTCGCAGCCCAGTGAATTAAGATGCCCAGCAGAGCTTTAGAAAAGAGGCAACAGAGACATTTCCACAGCTTAGACACAGGGTCTCCTTGACATCTGATGATTTCTGCTTTAAATGAGAATCTCCTGACAACACATTCAGGAGGAGATCCTTTTGGATGACGGCAGTTTGAGTGTGTGTGAATTGTGCCAGAGTGTGAGCATGTAATTACATGTGGATCTCAGGATTCCTCTACGTTCTTACAGAGCAGAGCATTCTCGGGCTCAACAGTGTTCCCAGGCGCTGGTAACCATGGTGACTCCTTAACAACCGCTGTCAACCCGTCCCTTGCTATTCTAATGTCTCTGCCTAATGCCAAACACACCGACAGAGAGAAAGCTCCAGTGCAACATTACAGGGCATGTTAGGAATATCTGGGAATGTTAAAAAACAAAACTTTAAAAAGCCTGTCTAGACGGATCGTTCACTTCCAGTGATTATGGGAGTTTATCATTTTCCTTTTTTCAATTTAAATCAGTATCATGTTTGGCAATTGGATTTCACTTTAGCGAGCTGACACAAAAGCCTGGGGCCTAAAATATTATCATGCTACAAATGAATCTCCCAAAAACAAAACATTGAAATATAACCTATTTTAAATCGTTACACAGTGCATGTCGGCATAAGCAGATCAGCCTCTCATTGAGAACAGCATTACAGAGAGACGCTTTGCCAGAACCAGGAGTTTGGAGAACAAGGGCTCATCTGTTATCCGTGCACAGCTTTGGATCTCCCTTTCTACTTCTCTTTACGTGTTTCTTTTCTTTACACTCGTCTGTCTGTCTCTCTCTCTCGCTGACTGTGTCGACCCCTCTGAACCTCCAACTCTTTGTACTTTCCGACACACCTGCAAAACCACTTTGAACTGTATGAAATATAAGCTACGGCTCACGGGATCTGCCAGACAGTGAAATGACAGGCACTTTAAAATATGAGTGAAAAGCCCACTAACTGAATGTAATAAGATGTTTTCTGACACACCATAAACAGTACACATGAATTTGTTCATGATTGAAATGAATATCAATAATTGAATAATGTCGGAGATCTAATTAAAATGGGGTTTATTAAGAAATATATTTACCGTTAATTTGTTTATAGAAACTCTTGGCACCTACATTGTTGAAATTAATTTCATTATGTTTTCTTTTTATGTGACATTCCCAGCCAGCATGCTTGGGAGAGCAGTTGAGCATATTGAACACCTGCTAATCCTGCGTACGGCACAACATCTCTGTTCAAACTCTTGTGTTGCTTCCTTCCTATTTAGAGATACACAATATTTAGTTTCTGTCAATTATACCTCCAAAACTCAAACATATATTACATGTATACTTTATATTATAAAGGGAGGTGTGAGTGAGTGAAATAAGGGGTGATTTAGATTTGGTTTTTAATTTGACATTATAAGGTATTAAAGAATCTGAAAATGGAAGTCGTTGTGGTTCACATGCATTTGAAAATGAATAATAAATGTGTTGCAGTTTTTGAGTCAGAGACAGCATTAGAAGAATCTATGAGCGGATTCATAGTATTCTTTATATTCATCTTTATAGAGGAAAGATATTTTAAGTCACACATACACAAGTAATGTGATTTCACAATCCCCAGGGAACCTGCTGACAAGATAGTGTCACCACCTCGGCACTAAAATGAACATGTCTTTCACGCAGGAAATGACGACAAACCATTTGACTGTTACAAATTTAGTGACCCATGCCAATAACAAAAATATCCTCACTAAACATCCAGTCATATAAGTGTGAAAGCACAAAAAAACAAACGTACAGTCATCCCTCTGACATGCAACAATTAAACATCAATATTTAAAAGATGAGCCTCTTGTTTTTACAGCAATATCCAACAGTAAGACACATGAGAAAAACATCCGTGGGTATATATACTGTACATTAACTTACATTATCAATAGCTCTGTTTGTTATGAACAATATTTACACCATGTAGTGTGAGGGGGGGGTCCTCTTTCCCACCCAGTTGCCCAAAGTCACGCGGTGAACATCCCCCTTCTGCATCCGTCACATTACAGGTATTGTCACTTGCTTGTCTTGTTTGGCTTTAAAGAGTAGTCAGCTTCGATAATGCAGAGTGACACACACACACACAAATGAATAACTCTGCATACGTCCACATGATTAAGCAAATAACCACAGCATGAAGCAGCGTTTCTCCCCGACACGGATGCACCGATGGCTTTTATCACACGACACTGAGGTTGTTCATCTCAGCACATTATGTCAATCTATCAAGACGCTTGGGCGGTTTCAGTTGGTTTTAACTGGTCCCACCTGATCCATTCACTTCGACATGTGACGCGCAGGCTGTACTACTTGGCTGAGAAAGCAGTGATTTGATGGGATTGGCAAATTGTGGCATGATGCCACCATCTTATTCCAGTCATTGTATGTTACTGTAACACATAACTGACAAAGTACCAACAACGCGAGACAGACAGACCTTCTTTGCTAAGACAGTAAGAAGCCTATTAGCAACCGATGAGCTTCACAGAGGTAAAGATTGCAACTGGACCGTCCACAAGTCTCGTTTCTCTCCCTCATCCTCAATACAGTGTCATGTTCCCTGATACGCTAGTAAATATTATCTGTCCCTTGTGTTGAGAAAGGTCGACAGATCAGACGATGGACCCCTTGGAGGAGGACAGGTGGATGGACTGGATGCGGATGGCCAAGGTTTTCTCCAGGTCCTGCAGGATTTCAGAGGCGGGGCTTTCCGCCGGCGTGTCATAGAGCAGCTGTTTGAATGGCTCCAACTCGATCAATACTAACATGTTCTTCAGGAAGTAGCTCTCGATATAGGAAGCCAAGTCTGGGGCGCCAAGAAACTGTGAAAAAGAAGAGTATTTAAGAGACAGATGAAATGTCTAGGCTACACTTGATGTGCAACAGTAGATCCTTGAGTGAAAATGTTCTATCCTAAACATCCTTTTGTATTCCTGAAGTACAATTAGTGTGGTTGTATTCTGCATGATCTCGTTTTGCACCTTGGTGTGATTGTAGATCTCGACACAAGTTTCCGCGTTAATGTTCTTGGTGCAGATTATCTCACAGTGCCTCTGCAGCGACTCCAGTTGGAAGAACTTGGCCGCGGACAGAAGCTGCAAAAAAAATCAGAAGCAAGTTTAGCATCAAGTTTAGTATTAGATTGTGAAAATCACGAATGGGTGACCTGTAGTTTCTAGATTATTGCTTTGTAGTGTAAAGACCTCTGTGTGAATGGAAATGTCTGTGATGGGGACCTAACCTCCATAATGTCAGTGTTCCTGATGTGCAGAGCGTCCGTCCCTCCAAAGTAGAGGTATTGCATCACCAGCTGTGAGGAGGAAATACATGTCAGCTTCCGTTTTAAGGATGACTGCTGTACAAACACATGCAAGTAAGAGCGTCACTGTGCGGTTTAAGCACAATTCAAAAGTGCCCCTTGTTTACAATAATTGCATTACCTGAAAGATGTGATATTTGACATTGCTTATCTCAATGCAGGTGTTTTCACCGCAAGGTCTGTTTGCTAGAAGAGATTTAAACCTTGAATGAGGGAAAGCCAGAAAGAGGAAGGATTATCATTTGTGAATAGAGCAATAAACCTTCATATACTGTACAGCAATGTTTTTAAATTAGTTATTTTGTGTTTATCTCTGGGTATATATTGTCAACAACACACTTGAATGATGAGTCATTTATCTTCTGTCCCTTTAAGACAAGACTGATAGGTTATCATTGATGTGATTCGACGTGAGAGTGAAATAGACGTCTGTCGAAGCAGAAACAAATGTCTCTGACAGCAACACAGCATTTCAAGTGCTTAGTCATTTCTGTATCCATTCACACACCTTTTGACATTAAAATGAGAGACAGATAGCGTTACAATAGAGTCTCCATTTACCGCAACAGCAGAACCTGGAGTTCAGAATACTGAACATGCATATTTCCTCTACTCCGGTTCTTAGAAGTCAGCGGTGAAGTGAGCGTACCTGCTGGAAGCTGTGAAGAGCAGGACTTTGTGGGCATAATAAGGTTTCCCTTCCACCAGAAATGTCACGTCCGACATGTCTTTATTATTCAGGAAGAGAGGATCTGAAAAAAGATGAATAATTATTAATAATTAAAATGAATAATAATAAACACATGAACTTGCTTAATTCTCAACAAATCTTAGCTATTGTTTCAAAATAACTTGAAAATGTCCATCCCAGTCCCTGAACACTAGATGGCGTCTGGTGCACTTTTCCATTTTCATGCACCATGCATTTACTAGTAAGCGCCGACTCAAAATAAAACCCGTCAATGTAGTGCTCTCGTGCAGCATTAATGCTCTGCTTTTACATAAACAGCGCAGATTTCACAATCTCACCCAGGCGGGACGACGGCTTCCTCTTGATCTCCGCCAGTTTGGGGATCGGGTAAGGGCCGTAGCACTGGGCGAAGATTGCAGACAGCTGCTGGCTGATTACCTCATTCTG